GCTTGTAACACTCCAAAGAGAAAGGAAAAATTGAAATCGCATCATATGACCCGTTTAATGCATCAATAGATTTCCCATGTTTGCTTCTGTACATTACTATTTGCAGGGGTTAAATTGGGATTTGTTATGTGGGGGGGCTCTATGGTATCGAGCTTATATGTATATACATATACATATATAATACAATACATATAAGCTCGATACCATAGAGCCCCCCCACATAACAAATCCCAATTTAACCCCTGCAAATGACCATAATTAAAAGACATCTCTCAGACTTTTAAGAGTGATAAAGTCTCTTAAAACATCTTCATACTCTTAAAAACTATATCTGTGACACTCAACACTCACGTATGATCAAGCGCTAACGAAAACTCACCAAGAGTTGATGATTGTCTAATAGGCTATATTGTGGATCACAAAAGGCTATATTTGATCCGCTCATGCTACTTTTCCAAGTTTACTTGAAGTAGCGCTTCCATTCTGGCTTTGGCAGTGCATAAAGGTCCATTTCTGTAATAGCACCATGTTTCTCTAACAAAATTTAGTAGGACCTACTTTGTTTTCCCATTTTCCAGTCCTTGAATCCATGTGTCTAAAATTCAAGTACTTAAAAGAAGCATGGGCACGCTGACATTAATAAAACAGACATGTAGATCTTTACAGCTTAATAAAACAAGCACAAAATACACAATTAAAATGCAAAAGCACTCAATAAAACAATACGCTGTCAAGAATGAACTAATTAATAAAAACATGTATTTAAGTCATATTTAAAAACAGAGACAGTTATGTGGATTGGAAGACTATTCCATAAAAATTGAGCCTTCACTTTTTTTCCAAAAAAAATAAATAAATAAAAAAAATAAAAATAATAATGCCTACTATCATCTTTCATTTTATATCTGGCTTAGATATATTTCAGCCCTTTTGTTCTATTTCTCTTTGCTCTAATGCTGCTATATTTCATTTGTAATTTGTTCCACCTTTATGCATTAGGAATTATTTAAATAGCAACACATTAAATCTACTACAATACATTTTGCGTTTGTTAAATGCTGTAGGTTTAGCTGTTGGTTTTGAATAGTTTATATTTATGAATTGTTGTTCCCATTCTAAAAGCCATACAAATACATATTTTCATTTTTGTGGTCCCTCATCCGATGGTGTCTGGTCCAGTCCTGTTGATTTCACAATGTAAAACCATCCACCAACATGATTTAGACCAGCTCTGAACAGGTGCTGTTCACTGTCTAGGCTGTTAAGGAGAAATCAAAAGAGAAAATAACCAGTGTTGGCTGTAATAAGTTGAATATTACAGAATTTCAATGACTTTTTTTGAAGAACAAGAAGTGTAACAGATCACACTAATATTAAACGTCTGTAATCTTATTAGTTATCATGTTAATATGACACGACAAAAGATGTTTACTCGCCTCAGGTTACAGTTGGAGTCTTTAAGCGCTTTACTGAGCTGCTTCCTTGAGTTTCCTATTTTATTCTTTTTCAGATCAAGTTCTTTTAAAAAATGCAAAGCTTTCGTCTTAGCCAAAGGCTGAGCCAAACAAGCAACATCCGTAATGCCACAGTCATTTAGGCTAGAAAAAGACAGAGGAAGAGACTTTCACTTTAACCCAGAGTTTTAAATCAACTGCAATTATATTTAACTTTGTTCAACAAAATTTCAGAAGTGAAATCAATTATTTAAATGGGAATCTAATCTGCTGAGTGTCTCAAGATTTCACTACAATAATAAGTAACCTGGTCTAAAAATGTTTTATCTTTTTTGGGGGAGATTTTGGCTTTTTGGATTTCAAGACAAATTATCACAACAAAACCATTTACAGACTAATGACTTGTACTGCTTTTAAAATAATGATTTCTCTCTGAAACACCTTAACGGGACTTAGTTCTAGTTTTCTATTACATTCTGCCAAAAATATGATTGTTTGCCATTTTCATTCCTTGAAATGTTACTTGTCCCTTTAAAAAAATTAACATCATGTCATTCAAGGACCAAATTACCATCTCATCACTGCATTAAAAAAATATAATTTTATGTTCTCAAAATTCATGTCATGAAGAAGAAAAAAAAAACATCACTATGTGTCCTGAAATAAAATGTGAAATATTTAAGTGATATTGAGTGTAAAGTGTTTTGGTTTAAACGGTTTACATAACTAAGTATTTTGATACTTGTAGATCAGGTTTGTCCAATCCTGCTCCTGGAGGGCCACTATGTAGGACATTTTGGTTTCAACTCTAATTAAACACACCTGAAGCAGATAATCAAATATCTTCAAGATTACAGCAGGCAGGTGTGTTGGAGCAGGTTGGAGCTAAACTCTGCAAAATGTTGGTCTCCAGGAGCACCGCTAATGAACAAAAGCTTCTTACCTCAATCTCTCCAGTTTACAGTCTAAATTCTTCAGTACATCACATAAGTGCTTCACTCCTTTGTTTTTTACTTTATTCCCACTAAGATCCAGTTCTCTCAGGTGTGATGGGTTTGATCTCAGAGCTGAAGTCAGAGCAGAACAACCGTCATCTGTTATATCACAGTATCTTAACCTAAAACAGGGGAAATAAGAAAAACAAACCTCTTATTCCATAACGGTATATCATCTTCATGGAAAACAGAGTAAGGTGAATTCAACAAACTCATCTGAAATGACGTCATATCCATATGTTCTTCAGTTTTACTTCAAGTATATCAGGGCCTTAAAACGTCAGGTTAAACCTGTTGAAGTGATTTTGAGTTTTTTGATTCTTGTATGTGAATGTTATTAACCTCAGTCTCTCCAGTTTACAATGCGAATCCTTCAGTATGTCACATAAGTGATTCACTCCTGTGTTTTTCATTTGATTCTCACTGAGGTCCAGCTCTCTCAGGTGTGATGGGTTTGAACACAGACCTAGAATCAGGATGAGACACTGTTTCTCTGTAATACTGCATCCACACAGACTGAAGACAAAAAGAGAAAAGATAATGAATCACATCAATGTTCAGTTCATGTGTGAGTTAAATACATAATGGATAAATGCCATACAGTCACTGATACAACAGCAACAATCTGAAAAACGTAATTGTATAATCATAAGCCAATACAGGAAAAGTTGGATTTGATGATACTAGCATCTCTGGAACCATCTTCACTTAGACAAAAAACAACAACTATACATTATTCATGTAAATTAAGATACAGGATCAACTATATAACAATTAAAAAATTTACAAGGAAATTTGGTACATGAATCAAATTTGGTTGAGCATAGTTTACCATCACTAAATACAAATGTTGCTTAATAAAAGTAGATGCAGTCAAAAGTTCTATTAGTGCTGGAAAACCATGTAACTCTGCCAAAATAATCTAATGTCATTCATGTTAGACTATTTTAGTCTATTGCCACTTCTTCCATTTTAGCATATGAAACCATTTTAAACAAATTTTAGTCACAAAGTTTCAGAGTTTAAAGTTCTTGCTACTGACACACACACACACTGAATCATCAAACCATTAGCTAACAGCATAATAAACTTTCATCATGCTGTAACTGCTGTACAGTATAATGTTACTAACTCTAGTTTCTCCAGCTTGCATTGTGGGTTCCTGAGTAGATCACAGAGGTGTTTCACTCCAGAATCTCCTAGTTGATTTCCGCTCAGGTTCAGTTCTCTCAGATGTGATGGGTTTGATTTCAGAGCTGACGTCACAGCAGAACAACCTTCATCTGTCACATCACAGCATCCTAACCTACATTGAGAGAAATATGATCAAAAAACAAACATTTTTCATTCTGTCTTAGTCAAACACAAAAACAATTGCTTCTTTCATGCATGTAAATGTTCCTCACCTCAATCTCTCCAGTTTACAGTGTGAATCCTTCAGTACGTCACATAAGTGATTCACTCCTGTGTTTTTTAGTTCATTTTCACTGAGGTCCAGCTCTCTCAGGTGTGAAAGGTTTGAACGCAGAGCTGAACTTAGACTGAGACACTGTTTCTCTGTAATACTGCATCCACACAGACTGAAGATAAAAAGAAAAAAGTGAAATGATCTTATTGAAGAGCTACAGACTTTTAGTTTAATTCACAGTCTAATTTGATGTGTAAAAATTTTAGATTTTATGCTTAGACGTTATACTTTGGATATTTATTCAGATATTATACCTCTATTTTTTGCCAACATTTTTTGCAGTATAATTTTTGCAGTAACGCTAACAGTCAGAGATTGCCATTCATTTTATTTTCTCTCTGTCTGTGTAGGAGTGTGTGGGGAGAGTGAGAATGTTTTACACTCCTGATATTTTAAGGTCTCACCATTTCTGTTTTTGTACAACATTTTGGAGGATACACAGTTTTTATTCAACATATATTGAAAAGAAACATATATTGAAAATGCATGCATTAGGAGTGTTAAACACCTAATATAATGTATGATCATTGAGGAAATTCCAGAATGTGCAGTGCTATAAATGATGTAACATGAGTCATGTTGTCTTAAAATACACCTAAACAGTAAACTGGTACTAACGCTAGTATTTCCAGTTTGAATTCTGGGTTCTTCAGCAGAACACCAAGGTTTTCAACTCCTAGTTGATTTCCACTGAGGTCCAGCTCTCTCAGGTTTGATGGGTTTGGTTGCAAAGCTGAAGTTACAGCAGAACAACCTTCATCTGTCATATCACAGTATCTTAACCTACATTGAGAAAGAGAGCAGAAAATAAGACAGAAGCTAACTTCATAACAAAAATAGACAAAAGAAGAGAGATCATTTTATTTCACCATATCACAAAAACGCACAAATAATGTGAAGACCTTTTCACAAATATGTGAACTCATGAATGTTCCTGACCTCAATCTCTCCAGTTTACAGTCTGAATCCTTCACTACGTCACATAAGATCTTCACTCCTCTGTTTTGTAGTTTATTCTCACTCAGGTCCAGCTCTCTCAGGTGTGATGGGTTTGTTTTCAGAGCTGAAGTCAGGATGAGACACTGTTTCTCTGTAATACTGCATTCACACAGACTGAAGACAGAGAGAGAGAAGACAATGAATCACATCTATGATGACCCAATAAAGTTAAAAGTGTGGGTCTCATGACAGTAGTTTGCCATTTGAAAAGCACTTCGTAAGTAAATGCAGCTCAGAATTCAGCATCATAAAATGTATTTTTCAGAATATTCTACTGTAATTCTACAAACTGTAGAATTATTATTATTTAGAATTATTATATTATTGAAAAATAAAAAAATAATTTCAGCTCCCTCTACAGTAGCTGAAATAATTGTTGACTTGACTGAAAATACATTATTGATTTGTTTAACCAACTAAAAAGTTTGATCCACAGAGCTCTGGGTAGAAAGCAATACAATTTTAATACATAATTTTATTGTGTCTCTAATTCAGGCAAAAGAGAAAATAGTATTATCAACTACTGTAACATTACTATTAAAAGCAATTTAACATTTCAGAGCATGTAAAATACTCACGTCAGTGTGTTGAGTGTACAGTGTTTATCCTGCAGTAGAGCAGCGAGCCGCTTCATGTTTGTGTCTCCTAGTTCATGTTCACTCAGATTCAGCTCTCTCAGGAGTAACGGGTTTTTACCCACAATTCCAGTCACATACTGACAGGCTTCATCTGCAGCAGGACCCAAAAACCTGCAGAAAAAAAGATGACGCAGGATTCAATTCAGTTTGCAATTATTAAACTTAAAACATACGTTAAAATCACTTACCTCAGTGTCTTCAGTTGACAGTTTGGATCCTGTAGTAAATCATTGAGCTGCTTCACTCCTGATTGTCCAGGATCATTTCCTGTGAGATCCAGCTCTATCAGGTGTGAAGGGTTTGATCTCAGAGCTGAAGCCAGAGCTTTATAACCTTCTTCAGTGATACTGCAGTCTGAAAGCCTACAGAAAACATATTTTAAAAAGTAATCAAATTCATTACACATAAGATAATTTTATACCAAATCTTTAAATGCATTTTATTTATTTTCTCTTTTGATCAGAGAAGAAAAACATATTTCATATCTGGCAGAAACATTAAGGCCCGTTCACAACAAGAACGATAACTATATGCATAAAGATGAAGTTCTAAATATCATTTTAAATTTAAAAGAATAGCAGAGTTCACACCACAACTATAATAATAAAGATTTAGATGAACATTATTGTTGGGATTACTCACACAGTTAACATTTGAAAACATTCATTAGAAATATAAAAAAGTAATCTAAACGTAACCAAATGTAATCAGTTATATTAATAAAGTAATTGAAATAGTTACCCTACTTCCTACATTTTAAAAAAGATAACTTGTAATCTGTAACCTATTGCATTTCCAAAGTTAACCAAAGTAATCCATAGTTATGCACTATCCACTCAACCGTGTAGTGTATGAATTATAGTATAAGGGTATTTTGTCATCATTGGAGTCTGCTGCCCCTCCACCTCCACTACATAATTAAAGCTGCGATGGTTGAGTGCATAAAGCGTCCAACATTACACACTTCATTTTATTGGTTAATTAAGTGCATCATCTGAGTATTTAAAGTGCACTTATTCTTTTTGGAATTTTCAGAATTAACATGAGTAGTGCGAGTAGTGGAATAGTGCATAAGTATGCGAATTGGATCACACCTATAAACTGTATAAAAATAAAAAGATGGATGACGCGTCTCGACTTCCTTCCACTATAGAAAAGTGAAGCCAAAACGTCCCAGTATGGCCGCTTAAATATGCCATTATAAACAAAATACTCACATCAGTGTGTTGAGTTTACAGTGTTTATCCTGCAGTAGAGCAGCGAGTCGATTAACATTTGAGTCTCCTAGTTTGCATTCACTTAGATTCAGTTCTCTCAGGAGTAACGGGTTTTTACCCACAATTCCAGTCACATACTGACAGGCTTCATCTGCAGCAGGACCCAAAAACCTGCAGACAGGAGAAGTACACTGACATTACCTGCCATATAATGACTTTAGTGAAAGTATGTGAAAGGGCCAGTAATCATTTCAAAGGTTTTCGTATGATCAACATTTTGACAAAACCAGTTTTAATGATAAAAATGATATTTTAAATGATAAGCCGCACGTTGCGGTCTTAAAACAATTTCTTTAGAAACAGAAAACGAATGAGTAACAATCATAAGTGATTTCAAAATAAGTTTGTCTCGAACGCATGTTATTGCAAATAATAATAACAGATAGTCAGATATAAGTCAGCTGAGCTGCCACCGCAGATGATTTCACACACAATGCACTCTTTCAGTCAGAACGTGTCCATGTCTTGTGACTGAGTGTGTGACAGAGAAAATTGGAGTGAAAATCATGCCATTTAGGGTGACAATGCATGCATTATAGAATTTGATATAGCAACTTTTCAAAAGTTGCTAAAAGATGATAAATGAAATTAAAAGAAGCTAAATTTGTTGTTAGTGCTTTTTGAAAAAAAAATGTTGCTAGGATCATCTGAAAAGTTGCGAAATCTAGCAACAAAATTGCTAAGTTGGCATCACTCGAGGTGGGTGCTCTCTGTGCGTCTGGGGACAACAAGGCTCTCATTAGTGCGCAATCAGGGGGAAAATAAAGACCTGCGCCGCAACATTAGTGGCATAAACAATTAAGCTGTCAAATAATAGCTAATTTTATTGAAAATCAATTACTAATCATCTTGACTACTAGTTTTAGTTCTATTACACTTTATTATATCAAGAACACTCACCTCAGTGTCTTCAGCTGACAGTTTGGATCCTGTAGTAAATCATCGAGCTGCTTCACTCCTGATTGTCCAGGATCATTTCCTGTGAGATCCAGCTCTATCAGGTGTGAAGGGTTTGATCTCAGAGCTGAAGCCAGAGCTTTATAACCTTCTTCTGTGATACTGCAGTTAGAGAGTCTACAGAAAATAAAAACGTTAATTAAATTAACACTGTGGATCAAATTAATAACTGCCCAATAGTCTGAATCATAAATGGACTAAATCACACTAGAGTTAAAGACATAATCACAATGCAAAGTATTTTTGAGCAGACTGAATGAATATATAATATTCCAGTGATTGCTGGAGTTGAGTGTAGCTGCTGGTGAAATGTACTAACTTGAGTATCTTCAGTTCACACACAGGATTCTTCAGTCCCTCACAGATCTCTTTGACTCCTGAGTCCAGCAGACGGCTGTTGTTCAGGTTCATCTCTTTCAGGATGGTTTTTGAGAAGAGAACAGTAGCTAGAACTGAACAGCTTTTCTTTGTCCGCTTACAATTATTCAGCCTGAACACAAAATCAGCATTATTTATTATTCAGCACATATTCAACACACAACAGATCAACAGCTCTTCATATCTGTTCACACATGTGGCCAACAGTTTTTTTTACACTGAATAAACAGAAGATATAATGTATAAAATCATGTTCACTCACTTCATTTTCTCCACTTTACTATGAGAGTCCATCAAAAGAGCAGAGAGTTTCTCTCCATCCAGCTCTCCTAATTTATCTTCACTCAGATCCAGTTCTTTCAGTAATAATGGACTTTTACCCAGAACTTTAGTGAGATACTTACACGCTTCGAGTGCAGCAGCACTTTTCAGAAACCTAAAGGAATTATATTTTTATTAATTATTATTATTATATTTTTATTATGTTTTTTTAATATAATTTCATCTTAATTTTATGTATTGTGCATTTCTACAGTAGGATGTACTTATTTTCAAATTATTTAAGCAATTATTATTTTGTCATGAAACTTGTATTGGAAATGAAATTCAGTGGTATGATTGTGTTGAAATTCTTAGTATTGAGAGTCTGTAAATTCCTCTTCCTGTCATTCCAGTTCCACAGTAGACCATTTGAGCCCTTTACCTAGCTTCATACAGTGGACTTCATGTCTTTCAATAAGTTCAAAAAATGTCACGTTTTAATCACCTGATAGTCTTCAATTGATAATGTCCATCCTGTAGTATATCACTGAGCTGCTTCACTCCTGATGGTCCAGGATAATTTCCGGTGAGATCCAGCTCTATCAGGTGTGAAGGGTTTGATCTCAGAGCTGAAGCCATAGCTTTATAACCTTCTTCTGTGATACTGCAGTTAGAGAGTCTACAGAAAAGTTCAAAATAAAATATCTTACATAATACAATTGAAACACGTAAAAACTTAACATTGTGTTGAGAAATTATTTTAAATTGTAAAAAAAAAAAAAGGTAAGGCAAAGAAGGTGAATAAAACGTTAGATTCAAAACAAACAAACAAACAACAACAACAACAAAAAACATAAAACATTACTGCTAAAGAAGAAAAATATTTGCCATTTCTTTCGTTTTTTTAGCATTAAATATGGTTTAACACTATGATTTAAATCACTCACCTGAGTTTCTCCAGTGTGCAGTTTGTATTTTCTAATCCAAGTTTCTTCACTCCTGAATCCTGCAGATTATTGTTTCTCATGTCAAGCTCTTTCAGACTGGAGTTTGATCTCAGGACTGTAGCGAGAGCTGAACAGCTTTCCTCTGTTAGACCACAATCACGTAGCCTAAAATATTAAACATGAGAGAGAGAATTTACAAACAAAGTACTTGATGCCAACATTCAGTGAGTACTGAGAATTATTTTGTTTTAGTCATCTGATTTCTTTAAGATACTTTAAATATGTAATAATAAATTAACAATACTCACTGAAGTGTCTTGAGTTTACAGTGTTTATCCTGCAGTAGAGCAGTGATCTGATTCACTCGTGTGTCTCCTAGTTCATGTTCACTCAGATTCAGCTCTTTCAGGAGTAACGGGTTTTTACCCACAATTCCAGTCACATACTGACAGGCTTCATCTGCAGCAGAACCCAAAAACCTGCAGACAGGAGAAGTACATCGACATTACCTGCCATATTATGACTTGTTTTCAAATGCTTGTGACAGAGCCTTTAATAATTTCAAAGCTTTTAAAAATAACTTTTTCATGGTTTAAAGGATTAGTTCACTTCCACAATAAAAATTTCCTGATAATTTACTCTCCCCTGTGTCATCTACAATGTTCATGTCTTTCTGACTTCAGTCGCAAAGAAATTAAGTTTTTTGAAAGAAAATATTCCAGGATTTTTCTCCATATGGTGGACTTTTATGGTTCCCAATGGTTTGAACTTCCAAACTGCAGTTTCAATGCAGTTTCAAAGGGCTCTATACAATTCCAGCTGAGGAATAAGGGTCTTATCTAGCAAAACAATCATAATTTTAAGAAGAAAAAAAACTAATTTATATAATTTTTTAACCACAAATGCTCATCTTGCACTAGCTCAACCTCACACATTACATAATCACGCACGCGTGACATGCGCGAGCGTGCAAAGAAAGTCAGACGCCCTTTACAAAATAAGGTAAAATAACGATATCAGACGATTTTGAAGTTGGAGGAAAAAATGAGATGGAGTTTATTACCCTACTCTACCTTTCTGAACCGAAGTACACAGACGAAGAACTAACCACACGTGACTTTTCCAACGTGATTACGCAATATATGACGACGCGCATGCGCATCGCAGAGCTAGTGCAAGATGAGCATTTGTGGTTAAAAAGTATATAAATATTAATCTTTTTATGAAAATGACCGATCGTTTTGCTAAGTAAGACCCTTATTCCTCGGATGGGATCACTTAGAGACCTTTGAAGCTGCATTGATACTGCAATTTGAAAGTTCAAATCATTGGGAACCATTTAAGTCCACTAAATGGAGAAAAATCCTGGAATGTTTTCCTCAAAAAACGTAATTTCTTTGCGACTGAAGAAAGAAAGATATGAATATCTTGGATGACAGGGGGTGAGTATATTATCAGGAAATTTTTATTCTAGAAGTGATCTAATACTTTAATAATCTTTCAGCTAAAGTTTCAAAATTATTGGACTTCATTATTTTAATATCACTCACCTCAGTGTCTTCAGTTGATAGTTTGGATCCTGTAGTAAATCACTGAGCTGCTTCACTCCTGATTGTCCAGGATAATTTCCTGTGAGATCCAGCTCTATCAGGTGTGAAGGGTTTGATCTCAGAGCTGAAGCCAGAGCTAGATAACCTTCTTCAGTAATACTGCAATTTGAAAGTCTACAGAAAAGAGGTGTGTAACAATAATAATAATAATAATAATAATAATAATAATAATAATAATACTTTTATATAACAAATATTATTGAAAAACATATTTTTTATTATTAAAAATACTGTTAAAATACATATTGCTTTGTTAAAAAGCCAAGTTTAGAACTTTTTTTGCACCTCTTCAGGTTAGTGAAGAAAAAACTATTCATAAGTGCTGACATAAGAAGAATCTTACCTTTCTATTAGGTCTACTAGAGTAATTTTAAATTTGAACCAAAGATAATGTTTTGCGATTAAAATATTTTCATTTAATTTACATACCCAAGTTTTTCCAGTGTGCAATTAATATTTTCTAGTCCATTCTGGAGTTTCTTCACTCCTGAATCCTGCAGATTATTGTTGCTCATGTCAAGCTCTTTCAGACTGGAGTTTGATCTCAGGACTGTAGCGAGAGCTGAACAGCTTTCCTCTGTTAGACCACACTTACGCAGACTAAAATTATGAACAGGAGATAATTTACAAACACAAAGAACTTGATGCCAACATTCAGTGATCACTGAGGAGTATTCATTATAATGATATATTTAAGATACTTTAAATGTACCATAATAAATTAAAAAATACTCACTGAAGTGTTTTAAGTTTACAGTGTTTATCCTGCAGTAGAGCAGAGATCTGATTCACTCGTGTGTCTCCTAGTTCACATTCACTCAGATTCAGCTCTCTCAGGAGTAACGGGTTTTTACCCACAATTCCAGTCACATACTGACAGGCTTCATCTGCAGCAGGACTCAAAAACCTGGAGAAGAATGATGAAGCAGGATTCATTACATTTTAAAGATAAACTTGAATTTACTTTAAGAAACCGTATTAATTAAATATTTTTACAAATAAATTGCCTGCATCAATTACTTTGCATTATTGCTTCATGTCTCACCTCAGTGTCTTCAGCTGACAGTTTGGATCCTGTAGTAAATCACTGAGCTGCTTCACTCCTGATTGTCCAGGATCATTTCCTGTGAGATCCAACTCTATCAGGTGTGAAGGGTTTGATCTCAGAGCTGAAGCCAGAGCTTTATAACCTTCTTCTGTTACATTACACTCAGAGAGTCTAGAACAGGTATTAAAATACAACATTCGGCTAAATAATCAATTATAAAAATAAATCAATTAAATAAATAAAATATATATATATATTTTCAAACAGAAACTCATGACTGAATAGGGCTGTATGTTCACTTTTCATAGCACTGGTGCTGCAGAGGATGAAAGTTTTGTAGCACAGGCCACACAATTACAGCACAAGAATAAAACATTTGTTACCATCTCTGAAAACAACCACAAGAAGCGCAGTTTATCATTTAAATGGGCATGTGAAATTATTGTTCCATACATGGCACACAAAATCCAAATTTAACAAGAAACACATTTGCAAAATATTTATATATTAAATAACAGCAGGTTTGTTGTGCTAGTTTATCGGACAGCACAATTTGGGCAAACTGTTTTCCTATATCAATGTAAGGTTATATAATTATTAGCATCCTTAGATTTCACAGAAAACTGCAGGGTGACCTGTCACATGCAGGGGTTCTATAACTATAAATAATTAGAAAAGTCTAAGGCTTTGTTATAAAATTTTTAATTATTAAGTAAAAAAAAAAAATCTGTGACAGTAATTTAATTTTTGTCAGGAATTCCTGTGCATCCCCTGAGAGGAAAAATAACTCCTATACACTTCCCTACACTGGAGAAAGATGTATGGATTAACATATTTATTTCAAATTTCTTTAGAGAGAAGTTATATTTTTCATATTTTTACCCAAAACAGGGTGTTATGAGTATTAGTGAGTAAATATGTGTAATGTAATGTCTGTTTTATTCATACTAGAAGCCAGAGGGCACCCTTACGCACAAACTCCACAGAGACTCACAGAAGTAATTTAAAGGTGCAGTGTGTAATATTTAGGAGGATCTATTGACAGAAATGCAATATAATATGCATAACTATGTTTTCAGATGTGTATAAAGACCTTACACAATTGACTGTTTTGTTTTTATTAACTTAGAATGAGCAATTTATATCTACATACACCGCGGGTCCCCTTACATGAAAGTAGCAACCATGTTTGTACAGTAGTCCTTAAAGGACAAACTGAGCGTGTTTCGTCACTATGATGTTCTTGCGAATAAATCACTGACACAATGATGAACAAGTAACAATAATATTCGCAATAACATATAATTTTATTGAATAATTAAGTAAATATAATTCCTTGATTTACCTTTGTAAAGAAACCTCATTGCTGGCTACTCTCGGCTGTCTCAGACTACGACATCTTAGTCCTGTATCGGCCACCGTAGTTTCTCTAAAGGGAGGGGTGAGGGGGGGACTGAGCCGTTGGTTGCAATTCGCAACCTCACCGCAAGATGCCGCTAAAATTTACACACTGCGCATTTAACTTATGATGTTGCAGGAAAACCTCTCAGGTTACGTATGTAATCCTGGTTCCTCGAGGGAACGAGACGCTGCGTCGGAAAACGCTAGGGGAACGCCTTCTGTGACCACGCTCTGAATCACACGTGATTAGGAAGCTATAAAAGCACGTGCGGCGGAGCCAGCGTTAGCTTCAGGAATGAGGCAAGTGCTGGCAGGGATGTCGGAAGTATGGCACCGAGACGCAGCATCTCGTTCCCTCGAGGAACCAGGGTTACATACGTAACCTGAGACGTTCCTCTTCAGGAACTCGAGCTGTGTCGGAAAACGCTAGGGGAACGAGAATGCCCACGCCGCCAGACTTTCAAATCTCTGCCTAGTGTGGAAGACTGCACAGCTAGGGCGA